GTTTTTTTTTTTTTTTTTTTTTTGAATTACATAATGTACAGTGACATAGTTAAAATCTGTGTTTGTTTTCACTCTTTCTTCAGATTTTCTCTCATTCTTGCTAATTGCTTTCAACCCTAAAAAAATTACTTTAAGCAAAGAATATGAAAGGAAAAAGAAAGTTGGTAATTTAAAAAAAAGGAAAAGTTTTATATTTAATACTTCCTTTTCTTCAGATTTCAGTAAATACATTTGATTCAATGGCTGTTTACCTTTCACAGTTCCAAGGAGCCAGAGATCATAAAATAGAGCAGGGAGAAGTATCTTAACCCACTGTCGACCCCTAGCATCCAGCATCTCTGGACACTTCTGACTGCAAGTAGTTTCTAAAGGCCATTTCTGACCCCTAACCTTGCTTTTGTTGCAGTCATCCATTGTCCTTGCAAGCATTTATTTCAGTCATTTGCTGCTCCTGTGCGTGTTACTGCTGCAACTCATTCTTTTCTTCATCTTATTAAATTTTGCACCTACTTCCAAGTTTCTCAAGATATTTCTGATTCCACTACCATGTCCAACTATTTGCCATGGCAGTAGGAGTGAGGAGAGGTGGCTGGCGTTGATCCATAGAAATCCCTGTGTCTACCCCTTCAGGGCTAAAATCAGTAAAGTCATGCTGCGTAGTGGCAACAGGAAAACTAGAAATTGCATTTTCTCATGCCCGGTGCTCTCTCCACTGACCAAACTCGATTGTTTCTTGATTTTCTTTCATGTCTGCTACTTGTTGAAATGCAAGCCCTCAGTGACAGAACGGAGCTCATCATATCCCTATCTCTTGGCCAGTCCCTTGCAAAATGTCCTGATTGATTATCCTTCCAGTCCCTTGGACCTTTTCCTTCCTTCTGTTTGGGGAAAATATTGAGATTGCTTTGTAGAGGGGTCATCTATGGAGAATGCTGCTTATAATCTATGATTACAGTTGAGAAAGACGAGCATGGTTTGGGGTCAATGAGTTGAACTGAATTCTTGATTTTTTTTTTTTTTTCCTTTATTGGCCCACCTCTGCATGTCTCTTAAACTTTTGGGGCCCCATTTTTCTTATCTATAAAATGGAGATAATACCTATCCCATCAGCGTATGGCAATTTTTGAGACTAAAATGGGATAGAAAATATAGAAAAAGGTAACAACCTACACACATAAGGCGGTTATTATATGAACTCAAGTAGTGACATAGAGCAACACTTAGGATTCACTAAGTTAGAGAACATGCAAAAATGAATATTGAAATGACAATCTAGGTAGAAGACAATGGACAACTGACTTAAAAATAGAATTAAAATAGATGATTTGTATGTGTGCAGTGGTATGCAGGCATGATTCAGCGATGGAGGAGTTATAAAGAATAAGGGGTCCTTAAGACTTGTACCACTGAGACCACTTGATGGCTCTGCTTAAATTGGCATGTGTAGGCATGTTTATATGAGCTGAAGAGTCTGAAAGAATGCTTATAAAAAGGCTCCTTATATAATGACAATAGTAAGAAATTCTTCCTCAGTCCTTTACTGCAAATAGAAAAGATCGTCTATTTTATCATTTTACAATTGTGAGAGAGTAATATTGTATTATAGGGGAGTAAGAAAAGTCTTCTGGCCTGATAAGTATTTTTCAAGAATCAGTATAGAGCTTAATTCTCAGTAATCTCAAACCAAATACCCTGAGGCTATATGTAGGAACTACAGTTTTCATTTTGTGTGAGGTTGGCTTAAAGTGAAAGATAGGTTGTTTTCATTTATTCCCAAAGTGTCTTGAAGTCTACATTTAGGTTTTGAAATCTATAAAGATTGTGATTAGGGTAAAAATAGAAAAGAAAATCTGATTTGTAGGATGAAATTTAAAGAATTGAGAGTAATTGTTAGTTTCATCATTATAATCTTAACTGTAGGCATTAAAGAAGTCATAACTTAAACTGTGCAAGTTAAAGCTATTAAAGGATATTATTTCATGTGGTAGACTGAAGTGGCTTAATGGGAAAGAAATCCATGATAAAAAGTACACAGTAATACATAAGGAATGGGTATTTAAGGGATGAAGTATTCTATATAAGGAGATTATCTTTAGAGAGACAAGTTCATGACTAGAGAAATGAGGCTAAGCATTTTTGCCCAATAAAATCTTGTATGTAAGGGTACTTCATTTTATTAGGTAAAGTGATTTTCCTTCATCCTTATGAGTCTCTACAGAAACCTCTAGAAACCCTTACGATATTGACTCTCCAAATATACAGTTCATCCCTGAGCAATTCATTTGTTAAGTTATTGTTTTGTTACACAGGATACATAAATATATTAATTTTGTAACAATTTTAAGATGTTACCAGATACAGCCAAGAGCCTTTCTAACTAGCCCCTTTTTCAACCTCTGCTCCTTCAGCCAGGGTTATACCTATCACATTTTGTTTTATTTTTCCAGGCCGTTTCCTTTATATTTATATATTTGTACCTGTGGAAAATATAGCATCGTTTTGTGTGCCTCATTTCTATAAGTATCACATGATCTTTATGGCACTTGTTTTTTTTTTTTCACAGAAAAGTGTGTTTAGGAGAGTATTTACATTTTAGAACATATAAAGCCATGTTGTTCTTTTAACTGCCTCAGATACTCATATGATGGCTATTCAGCTATTACCCTGCTGAGGAATATCGAGGTGGTTTGTTTTTTCTAGTGTTTCCAGTAATGTCACAATGAGCATCTAAAAATTGTCTCATTAGAAGAGTATTACCAATTATCATGATGATCTCTTTCACTTGATAATACGTTGTGACAATGCAGACTTAGTACAGTTAAAACTTGAAAATCTTTCATTAAAAACATTGCTTGAATTCCAGTAATGGTGGCATGCAGAGTCTGGCAATTCTCCTATTTCTAAAACAAATATAAAACTGGACAAAATGGTTGAAAACAGCCATTTAGGGGTATTGGAAATTGACCAAAGACAATTGAAAAAATTGATCTTGCAGAGCTGTTAGGGCTGGGGGTTAGAGCAGTGTGAGTCTGTGGCCTTCGTGCCTGGGCTCTTTCCAGATACCTGCCCAGCTGCCCCCCACTCTACCCTCTTTGCTCAGTTGATGACAACTGACGCTTTACTAGCTTGGGGCTGGCTGAGAAAGCCAGCAGCTTTGCTGCCAAAGAGTTGGGGGTGGGGGATGGCTTGATTCAGGAAAAGAAGTTAGGGAGGACACAAAAACCTGTGGCTTTGCTGGTGAAAAATGATGGATTTGGTTGGAAACAGATGGAAAAAAACCCTGCTGTTTTGCCAGTTCAAGGTCGTGGACCTGGTTTGGGGAGAGTGGTGGACCAGTAAAATTTAATAGGGAAATCCTAGAAATGAGCGAGCCATAGAAAGACTGTGATAAGCTCTCCACACAGCCCTGGTCGACTGGGAACTACATGCGTGGAGGGGGAGACCTGAGGGAGCCTGGCAAAAGAAGTTCAAAACAAGGGAGACTTGGGAGAGCTGGCTGCAACTCTGAATGCGTTCCCCAGCCTGTACCCAAATCAGCTGACGGAGGGTGGAAGTCGCAGAAACTTGAGATTTTTGA